AGATAATTTATCATTGTTTTGTTTTTTATTATTTTAGAACATTGTTTTTAATTTTTTTGGACATATAAATTGTTTTCGTTAAACCTTATTTATTTTATTTTATAGATCAAAGTACAGTTTGGATTATTTATTTATTTGTTTATTTATTTATTTATTTATTTATTTATTTATTTTTTATTTATTTATTTATTTATTTATTTTTTATTTATTTATTTATTTTTGTTTATTTGTTATATTTTTGCAATTAATAATTACAACACAAGTCGTACATACACAAATAAGTCTAAAAACCACAAATACGGTTTGTGCAATAATAACAGATCAATCTTTTACAAAATTAAATATTTTTATTTTAAAAAATGACATAATTTGTTTTTATTTTTTTTAATTATTTAGATAATATTATAAAATAAACATCATTAAGTTTTTATTTTATTTATATAATTTTTTTTTATTTTTTCAAATTTTCATACACACACAAAAAAAAAACTCATTCTCATTAACTATAATATTAAACACTATTTTAATATATTTATAAATATAAAAAAATTAAATTTTTTCATTAATATTACAAATAATATTTCTTCAACTCTCGATCATAGCAATATATTTCTTTCTTTTTTTTATTTATTTTATTTTATTTTATTTATTTTATATATTTATTTTATTTATTTAAAAATATTTTATTTTTTAAATTATTTTATTTTTTAACAAAAATTATTAATTAAAAATTTTTCTTTTTTTTTTTTAACACACAATAGAACTTTTCAATTATATAAAATAACAAATAAAAAAAGAGATATATAATAGTATTTTTTTTTTTAGCAATAATCATAATATAATTAAATTTAAATATAATATAATAATAAAAATTTTAAAAAAAAATGGATGATTGCTCACCACTATCAACACCAGATCAAGAATCAATTGATAAAGTAGTAACTCAGATTTCACCACATCAAAAAACTATGGACCCATCTTCAGTGAATTTTGTATATCAATGGATGTTTTCAATGATGGCATCAGCATTAAATTTTAATAGAGTACCAAATAACAGCAATAATAATGACATCAATGAAATTAAAACAGATGACGAAGACAGCTGTAATGAAAACAGTTTTAATGAAAATGAAGAAATTAAACCTGAAGAAAAAGACAATTTTATTAGATCATTAGGTAATATCAGATTATCCGCCAGTTCAGAATTCGAAAAGAATGAACAAGAACATTTTTATAATAATGATAGCGATGAAGATTCCGATACTCTTCAAGAAAAAGATGAATGTTGCGAACATATTAATCAACAATGTAATAAAGAAAATAATAATAACAACATGTTACAACAACAACCACAACAAGAACATAGAACCAACTTTTTTAATAATATTTTAAATCTTTCAAACTCGGCCCCAAGAAAAACTTTAATTTTAGACTTAGATGAAACCCTTGTACATTCAACGATGAAACCAGTTTCACACCATCATCTCACTGTTAACGTTTTAATTGAAAGCTCTTACTGTACATTTTATGTTATTAAACGTCCACATGTTGATTATTTTATTCAAAAAGTTTCACAATGGTATGATGTTGTTATCTTTACCGCCAGTATGCAACAATACGCCGATCCATTACTCGATCAATTAGACGTTAACAAGGTTTTTAAAAAGAGATTATTTAGAGATGTAGGTATCACTAAAATATTAATTAATGGTAATTAAATATCGATATTAATTTAGTTTCTTTTATTTTATAGTCATGTTTAGAAAAAGATGGAAATTATATTAAAGATTTATCAATGATCAACCAAGATTTAACCTCGACTATTATTATCGATAACTCTCCAATTGCATATTCAAACAACCTTGAAAATGCATTACCAATTGATAATTGGATGGGAGATATGGAAAGTAATGATACCTCATTATTAAATCTTTTACCATTTTTAGAGATCATTAGAAATGTTACCGATGTTCGTAGTATCCTTTCTCTCAGATTATTAAACCCCAGTATGCATTAAAATCAAATTTTTTCATAAAAAATTATAAATATTAATATAATAATACAATAATAATATATAATTAAAATAATATAATTAAAATATATAATTAAAACAATATATAGTTAAAATTATATAATTATATAAATAATATAATAATATATACTTTATAAATTTTAAACTAATAATAAAATTTTTTTAAAAAACAAAAAAAAAAATATTTTTTATTTACAAAGTTTTTAAATAAACAACTATGTGTAAAGTTTATTCTTTTTATGATGGATATTTTTATTTGATATTTGGTTTATACTTTTTTTTGACTTTGTATGATATCCTTCCTTAATTATTTATTTTTTTTAATCCATTATACCAAACTTTTTGACAAATAGAACCAATTCATTAATTTTTCTAACTACACCATTTCTAATATCTTCATTTGGAGTTGGGATAGTAACTGCAGAGGTTTGAGTGTTTTCGCCATTTGAAAAAGTTAGTTGGATGAATGTATTGCTTGAACTATTTCTAATTTGAACGATATCGTTGAATTTTACTTTCCAAACAATTTCGCAGTGACCCCCATTTAATAGATTATTTTGATCTGTAAAGTTTATTAATAAAAGCTGATAATTTGAAGCAACTAAAAGCTGTTCTTTGTTGAGTATTGAATGGAAAACATACCAATCATGGGTTGGTGGAGGACCTATTTTAGAATATAGAATGAATGATCCGATTGCTTTAAATGCATTATATGGAGATAATGTGCCCTCTCTTGGGAAATAACGTGGAATACGACGTCTTTTAATTTGTAATAGTGATTTAGCGACAGAGGTAGAGTTTTTAATACCTTCAGAGGTTCTTGTCATTAGCTCGAAAACACCAACAGTTGGTTTAACTGCTATACCCAACATACCTTTGCCTACACCTTTAAAGAAACCTTCGATGGATTTCTCTTGAGTAGCACCTTTAAGTGGTTCGTCGATAATACCAGTGATACCCTTAATAACACCTTCACTAAAATCACGAATACCAAATTCTAAACCTTCTTTAACACCTTTTGGTTTAACTTTATTATTTTCTTGACGCTCTTTAATATATTGATCATCCAAAGACAATTGAACCAAACCTTTAGAAATTGTTCCAGTAATTTTAGAGGCAGAATCACAGAAACCAAAAACAGAATTGTTTACTAAACTAGATGTACCTTTAGAAAGTCCCATTGCAAAATCTTGAGGACTTTTAACTAAGCCCAATGCTGGTTCATGGAAGAAATCACGGAAACCACTACCAAGTGATTCTGCTAAACGAATTGGATTACCAATGAAATCGAATGAACCAAATATCTTGTGAGCTTGGCTCATTAGCTGATATGAAAAGTGTAAGGTAATTTCATCAATGACTTGACCGGTACTTAAAAAAGGATGTTCCCAAATAAAACCATTAAATTTAATTGGTGCTCTTTCAATGTTTAAAAATGGTGAATTTGATTTAAAGCCTATTAAAAGCTCTGCTAATGAACGTGCACCTAAAATTGCTTGGGTTTCTTTTGGTGATTTGCAACTAACAAAAGAAAGATTTACTTTAATTGGTTGAATGTGAAGCATTTCGAAATAAATCATGTGGTTTTGAATATTTGCTGCATTTTTGGTCTCTAAAATTTCTTCTTGGGTAATAGTTGGGTGAAGTGTAAAATGTTCATTTAAACTATTTAAATTAATATTTATAAATGAAAGTGCATTTAAAATTGATGATTCATCCAAATTAATGTCAAACTCTTGAATTAAAACTGTAAAATATCTAAAAAATATAATATTTTGATATTTTATGCATCTTGTTGCACTTAATTGTAAAAATGGGATTGAGTTTGATTTTTTTGGTACAATCGATTGGTTATTTGATGTTGTATTATTATTATTGTTATTATTATTGTTATTTAAAGACTGGCCATAGTTAACTTTTTTACTTTGACATAAGAATACAGGGAAGTTTGTTGAATATCTTTGGTCATCAATTTGCAAGTCATCTAATTTAAATTGAATATATTGATCTGTTTTATTTTGTTTAAAATCTAATTTTAACCCATCTATTGTAATATAAACAATTTCTTCTCTTGTTGGAATTTTATTAATAATCGAAATTCCAATGCTATGTAAATCTATTGATATTTCGTATTTTTGGTTTAATGCTAAATTATTATTTGATTCTTCAGGCTCTTCATTATCATTTGAATTAATTTGACTTGACATCTTTGGTGAGAAAACATAAGGTGATGATGGTTTACTGGTTTGTTTTTCTACAATATTCATTACTCTTGTTGGACCGTTGGCTGTAATTGTAACTTCTAAATCAACTTTTTCATTTGGGTTATTTGGATTTTTAAAAGATACTATCGAGTTTTCTTCTAGATTACCTAAACGATATGTTTTAGTGATTGGACCAGGGAATTCTATAACAAGCTTTTTGGGTAAAATCGGATGATCCCATGCATAGGGTGTTGAAGTTTTTGGTAGCACCTTATCCCAAAGTTCAGTTTTCTTTTGTCTAATCCAGAATGAAAATTTGGTTTTATTGTTTATAATATAGGGTGGAAGGTCTGGGTTTTGTTCATTTAAAATAATCATTGTAGTTGTAATGCTTTTTGTTGATTTAACTCTAATAGTCACCGAAATAAATGTTCTTAGTTCATCCATAATTGATGGTGATTGGCTATCACTAAATATTGGTTCGAGCTGCTGTTGTTGAGATTGGGTAAGTGATGATGATTGGACCAAGGGTAGTAATAAGGTTTGAATTCTTTTTTTTGTTGAGATTTCTGAATCCTTTTTATCTTTGTTCAATACCTGCATTGTATCAGAGTGTTCATTTCTTAATCTTAAAACAATTTGGCCAAGTAATTGTGGGTTAAAATAACCACTCCATTTAATATTATTAGTATTTGAATTATTATTATTGTTATGATCAAAAATACCAATTCTTATTAATTTTTCATTTCTTGATGAGGGGAATTGGAATGGTAAAGATTGATCTTGAATAATTGAGTGGGTATTTGTTTCACAATCAAATTGTTGATAAAAAATTCTAAAAGGTGTTGAGTTTACCAATAAATACATTGGACTAAATGTAACTACTTTCGTACGCCAGAATTTAGAATTTGATGGTAGAATACTAACAGATAAATTATAGTTTGTTTTTGGTGGAAGCTTTTTAGTAACATTTTTGATCTCTTTTTCTTCATTAGTCTTTTCTTCATTAATTTGGATATTTGAGTTTGCTGATGATTGGGAGTTTAATGAGAATGGTGATGACCAATTTGAATCAAAAACTTTAAGAGAGAATCTGCCTCCAATGATATTTGAGTCATTATATGAAAACATGAAAGGAGCGGTAGGATGGTTCCAATCTTTAGTGTACCAACTACGACTATCTGAAGGTTTATCTATATTATTTGGAATTTCATTTGTTGGAATTTGACCTGCTGGATCAATAGTTTGGGCACCTATATGATGTCTAAAATAAAGTGGTAACCCGGTTTGATTAATTAGCCAATATTCACAATAAATGCTAACGTATCTACTTCCATTTGGCTGAATTCTGTTATCAAATGATATTAGCAGTGGTTGATGTCTTTTATCTTCAATTTTAATCTTTTCTGGAATTGTTAACCCAACCATACTATCTATTAAAAATATTGGTGACCATGGGAAGTCGTAGATTTGGAAATCCATATAGATATCTTGAAGAGGATCGTAAACAAGTAGTGGTAATTTTTTGCCCATTGGAATCATGCAGCTAAGGAATGGTGACCCAATTATCTTTTTGTTCTTTCCGTGGTAAACTCTAATATTCATATCACAAGCCAATACATTTTCAACCATAATTGGGGGATTGATTGAAATTTGAATAATATTTTTATTTTCTAAATTATTTTTTTCGATTGTTGATAAAAATACAAATGGTAACTAAAAAAAAAAAAACCATTAATATTATATATAGATAAAAATTGCCAAATAGTAACCATTATACTTACTTTTGTTGTATGTCTACAAATCATTTTAGATGAAACTGAATTGTTATTATTTTCTTTACCACTATTTAAAGTTGATTTTGATTTAAATAGTTGTATAACACTTGAACAATCAATTTTTTCGACCGAATATTCATAACCTAAATTATATGGTTTATACTTGATTTTACCAATTGTAAACTCAACTGGAATTGGTATTTTGTTATGTGGGTTAACTTGAATTTCAATTGATTTTGGTTCTTTATCAAATACAGCGGTAATATGAACAACTATTGGTATATCTGTATTATTATTTATGCTGAAATTGGAATGTAGACTAAGAACTTTTGAGCCATTACGATATGAAATATCATAAAGTAGTTTAACAGATTTAAACTCTTCTAATGGATGAAGTGTATATGTACCAACACTATCCATTGGTAAATTTAGTAGTTGTTTAAAGTTACCAAACAATTGGAATGAAATCTTTCTTTCTAGTTCAATCTTTTCTTTTGATGAATCCAACTGTTGTGATGCATCTTTTGGATCTAAACCTATTTCTTTATTTGGTGCTAATTTTCTGATATCGTTACTATTGATCCAATACCAAATTTCAACTCCTGAATCGTTTTTGATGTAATATGGATATTTTTTAACTCTTTTAATTTCTTGGTTTTCCTCCTCTTCATTATTTTTATTAATGTCATCACTGCTTTGACCATCTGAATTAAAATCTTTTTTGATGTTTGTTTTTTTATAATAATCATCAGCCCAAATTTGATATGTTGAAATTGAAGTATCAATAAAAATCTTTGTAATATTAAAGTAAATTGGTATTTTAGTTGATAAATTAATCATCCAGCCACCTTCTACTGAATTATTTGATGTATAAGAAAATTCACAATTTTCGATTAATGGTTCCCAAATTCCAATATTTTTATTGAAATAACCAGCTTTAGTTTTTGCTTCGACTGAAAGTGCCATTTGATTCTTTTGTGGGAACGAAAAAACATTACCTTTTAATTCTTCCAATCTAATTGATAATAACGGAACTGGTGATACATCATTATGATCGTCATTTAAAATGAATTCACCATTATTAATAGATACGAATAAGTATTTTTGAAGTTGAGTTTCCACTTTAACTGGAATAAGCTCCTCAGAGTTTTCTGACCTTGGTGAAAGTAAAAAACTGCTATTTGATCCCATATGTTCATTCTCTTCTTGATCATCATCTTCATCGCCTTCTTCTTTTTCTTTATATTTCTTTAAGTAATGGCTTTGTTTCTGTTGTTCAAATATTAAATTGTTTGACTCCATAATAGAATTGGCAATCTTCATTAAGAGTTTAAAATCTAGATATGAAAAGTTTACATTGATATTCTCCACGGATAAATTTGATTCTAGATTTAATAGGGTTGAGGTATTTTGAAAAACAATTTTGAATGGTGAAATAATTTTAAAATTTGCTCTACTAGTATCAGAAGCAATCATTTGACTACGATAAACCTGAATACGAGCAGCTTCGATTAGAGTAACAGTTTCAACACCCATGGCACCTCTGCTTGTGGTTTGGATATCAAGAGATGATCTAATGAAAAGTGCATACTCCTTTTCACCATCACCATTTACAGTAGTATCACCTGGTAATGAAATTTTAATATCCTTAATGGAAAGCGCAAACAATGATAAACCAGATTGGATAATTTCTTCAGACACAGGAGCTTCACCAAATACCTTAACACTATATCTATTCCATGCATCGGTAGCAAACTTTGTTAGTTTAATAATTGAATCTTGAACTGGAATCCAAGAGTGAGGAACGAAAACCATATAAACACCAGTGACAGAAATTTGGAATAAAGATTGTTGTATTGGCGGAGGTTTAATTGAACCTTTAATAACTACTTGTGGTGGAAAATCAGCTAATGAATCGGTTGCTACTGAGTTTTCTAAACCAATTGGCTGTAAAGGTGAAAGAATATTACGAAGTGATGGATGAGTATCTTTGGAAAAATCCTTCATCATTATACCCCTGATTTCCACCAACATTGAAGTCTCCATTGGTTCATTTACAATATCCATTTTAGTTTCATTAATATAGAATAATACTAAACGATCATTTAAATCCGTACCGTCACGCTTCATATACATAATTGAAAATTTACCGAGTTTGCAATATGTGTAACCTACTTGATCTTTCAAAAATTGAACAATTCTATTTTGATGTCTAACTTGTTCGCTTTCATCCTGGTCATCATCAAATCTTTGTTGTTGTTGTTGCTCTTCAAGTTTCTTTTGTTCCTCGATTTCCTTTTCCTTCTGCTTTTGTTGGCTGGAATTTGCATCATGCACAATTTCTGAAGAGAATTCTGATAAATTTCCATCGAGTAAATCTATCATACATTTTAATTCGAATTCGCTAACATTAAATTCGAAATGGGATATAGTGAAATGTCTTTCCCATGAAGGTAACTTGAGCGAGTGCTTTAAGTATTCATTTAAATTAACATCGGTGAATAGTGGTGTCTTTAATTTGATTGATAGATTAACATCGCTAACCAGTGTACCATATGAACGTTGATTTGAACCACTTTTTTGATTTTTTCTAATCTCTGTATTAAGTCCAGATAACAACTTTATATTATTTGCATCGATTGAAATTTTTTCAATTAAGACTTCCTCCAATACTGTATTAATTGGTATTGTTGGTTCAGTAGAGATTTCTTCTAATGGGTTGGTTTTTACTGTGGCCTCATGTTTTTCGAATTGATTCTTGATTGTGATTCTACCTAAATCTATGATGAATATTTTATTTGATAATGATGATAATGGAACTATAATGTATGGGTTTTGAATTTCAATTTCATAAAATAAATTGGTTCTATTGTTTGAAATTGCTGTGGCTGCTGAATAAATTGAACTCTTTAAATACTCTCTCATAATGTTTACATTATTTAAGAATAGTTTAAGCTCCTCAACAAATCTCTTTAAGAAAATATATCTGATACTACTAAGACTAACCTTCAAATATTGATTATTATCGTCATTGTTAGATTCAAATTTAAAGTATACCAATGATGGGGATGGGGATGAGGAAGATGATAATGAGGTAGTTGAAGATGTAACAGATGCTGATGGTGAGGAAAAACTACCGCCACTATGGTTTGATAATGTATCGAAATTCTCCATATCTATATCAAATGATCCATCATTTGATTGATTCATAGAGTTTGACATGTTGCTATTAGTTGATACCTTTCTTTCTCTAGTAGTTAAAATTGTTCGATAGTTTCTGCCTTCTAGAGTAATGTCATGAATTTTGAGGGATTCTAGCTTACCATTAACTTCAGTTTTATTGCTATAAGAATCGGTAATACAATGGAATCCAGTGAATGATGCTTTGATTAATGGATTGTTATTCTCTCGGGTTAAAAGAATTCTAACGAGATCTATCTTTATAGTAGCCTTCATTGTTATTGTTGATACGGTCAATGTACTATTAGATGATGATATAGCCCTATTGCTTGTATTTTTTAAATATACGCTTGATGATAAAGAATCTTGTGAGAAACTATTTTTTAAATTAAAACTGGTAGGTGGTGAAGAAGATGATGAAAACTTTTCATAAACTAATGGTGGTGATGAGATATTATTATTATTACTATTAATTGATTGTCTTTCTTTTGTTAATGTTGATACGCTATTTAAAAACTCTATTAAACCGGCCACTGTCTTTCTATTTAAGATTAAATTAATTTGAGGTAGTTGAATATCTAAAAACTTTTCGATGTTGCTATAGTATGGTGACTCTTTAGAAATCTGATTAAACTTAAATCTAATGACACTGATGTGTTGAGCAGAATCTATAGTATCAGATGGACTGAATCTATTTGTTGATGTTGCTAAATAATTACCATTACCAGCTGACTTTTGGAAACAATCCTCTATCCACATACCTCTAATGGTTAATTCTAAATTGGTATCATACAATTTTTGAACATATATACCCTCTATACCTCTTAAATATAGTAATGCCATATGGTGCACCAAATCTCCATTTTCCAAACGTAAATGCACATTAAACTTATCTACACTAAATACTGCCTCCACCATTTTATATGAATCTATAAACTCTTTTGAATAGCTCTTCTTTTTTTTTTTCTGTGTGTTAGAGTTTGAAGATGTTGGAGATTTAATTGTGGGGGCTTTGTTTGGGTTATAAATACTTTCATTCATACCATAAACCGATGCTAACATTATTGAATCTTCCATTGATGATGGTGCCAATTGTTGTGAATCTATAGAGGTTGCAGATTGGATAATGTTCATTAAATCTACATACTGACTTGATGACAAATAAAACTCTACAGCATCAAAAGAAATAAACAATTTTAGTGATGTTAAAAATTGGTTTTGAAGTTTACTAATCTTTAAGGAGAAATTTGCATTTAATGGATTTGCTATGTTCATTCTAAATTTTTCGACTTGTTTTTGATCTTTCCAGTCATACTTTAGGTTCGATAGTAATATTTGTGTGTTTACCAATTTAAATAAATATTCATCATAAAACTCTTCTTCCCAATCTTTACTATTAGTATTGTTATTATTATTTTGTTGCTGTAATTTTGATAATTTTGGTGAATGATTAATTAATAATTTACCCAAATCCAAAATTAATAAATTTGTATTTGCATTGGTGATTGACTCGGGAACAATTACAACAGGTGCCTCTAAATTTAAATCGATTGATAGAGTAGTTCTATTTGAAATTGCCAACATTAATTTATCTCTAGTTTGCGATTTGAAAGATTCTAAAGTTTCTTGAGCCTTCTTTTCTAAATCTTCGAGTACGTCATTAATAATTTCGTCTTGTTCTTCATTCTTCTTAAAAAAGAAGTTATTTATAGTTGAAATAAATTTTGGATAATATACAATTGTTAATGGTTTAGATTGAATTGATAATTTATAATTTACATTATTATCAGATGGTGAAAAACTTTCCAAAGCTAAATTAAATATTGGATGCTTGACTTTATTGGTATCAGTGGTACCATAATCGAATCTATTTAATAGAGGTGATATTAAATTAGGAAATTGTGTATTTGGTGTTGAATAGTCTATTAATTCTAAATCCTTTAAATTTGCATTAAATTGGAATGATGTTGATTTAGATTTCATTTGTACCAATATATCATTAAGTGATAATACAGCCAGTGCCTTATTCTTTCTTTTTAATGTTACAATACCTTTAATTAATCTGAAGGTAATATCAGTTTTAACTATGTGAGAAAAATCTTTACCATCTTTTTTAGTATCTGTTTGACTCTTTACCATATCGCTTTCTTTTTCGCTGTAACCAATGGTATCATAAATTTCGCCCCAATCATCTCTTGATAATGTAATATCAGCAACAGTCGCATTATTTGATCTTGGAGAGTATGAACCACCTGTGACACTGGTTGATAAAGATGTTACTGCCGCATTTGAAATTGGTTTCCACCAAGATGAGAACCAGCCGCCAGATGCAGGTGGTGTAGTAGTTGATGATGATAATGAAGGTGAAGATAATGCTGGCATAGGAGGTGTTGATGAAGCCTGTTGTAATCTTTTCTTTTCTAACTCTTTTTCCCTTTCTCTTTCCTTTTCTTTTTCTAGTAACTCTTCTTTTTCGATAAACTTATAGGCCAAATTTCTAAATAATAAAATTTGATCAAAAGATAATTTCCATTCTAAAGCATCTAACCTTGTTTGCTCGGCTTGGTGAATTGCATTCTTCTTTAGTTTTCTAAATAATTTAATATATTCTTTCTTGTCATGTAAAAATTCGGATATATAAGACCAGGAATGAATATATCTTTCTTTATGCACCCTTTGTCTAATAGCTGCTATCGAATATATCCACCATTCCTTTGGGGATTGCTTAATTGATGATTTTGGTCTCGAAGATCTAAATTCAATACTCTTTTCGAATAGTGTAAAACTTTCTAATAAATTTGTAATATCTGTATACTGTGAGTCTGATAATGATATTTCTGTTGACCCAAATTCAAAATTTAATGTATATTTGGGTATTATTTCGCTTGGGATAATTGATTTATTTAATATTACTTTTAATTTTGCTGAAATTGGTGTTAAAAGATATTGTTGTTGATATTTATTATTATTATTACTATCGTTATTATCGTTATTATTTTTATTAACTATCATTGATTTTAATTTTGATGAGAGATCATCGATGTCTGTATATTTTAATTTTGCACTATTTGAATTCCAATAAATTGATAAACAATCTAAATTAACAATCTTGTGTATTATTGTATTTTCATTCTTTAAAAATGTTGGGTTCCAAGTTGCATCGGTCGACTCTGCTATTAAGCTATTTAATGTTATACCGACCGAGAACGGTCTTTTATTTGCGACATCTTCGAACCTAATATGAACCGAATCTATGTAGAGTTGTAAATTATCGATTACAGTTTGCAGCAATTTACTTCCGAATGAAGTTGATGATTCATCTGCTTGTTGCTGTTGTTGGCTACTATTACTAGCATTATTATTTGATTTTTGTGCCTTTTTATTTGCCCTTATTAGCTCCTGTATATTTAATTTTACCTGCTTTTCATCTTGAAACTTCTTTCTATAGTATTGTTCATCAAACTCATTACTCGGCTCTGCTAAAACATATATACCTTCTATTTTTATTATAGCCGGCTTCCCTTTTAGCTAAATTAAAAATTAAAAATCGTTAATAAATACAATAAATAATAAAGAGATAATAACACATCTTACATTATTCCACGGTATATGTAATGATAATTTTCTAACAACTGCTTGCTTCACAATAACATTTGGAAATAATTGAGCTAATATTGTTTTTTTGATTTTTAAATCTTGAAGGACTGCATCTCCACTTAAAAAACTTAGCTTGATATTATCTTTATTTAGGTCATCAATATATTCACCCAAATACTTTGTGAGTACAGATGCTGCTATTTGAGAAACCATAATAAATAATTATTTATTATTTGTTTATTATATATATATATGTGTGGGGTGTGAATAAAAATAAAAAATAATTTAAATTTAAATCTTTTGTTTATATTTATTTTTTTTTTCCCTCCTTTTAAATAAAAATGGCTATGGGGTATATATGTATTTATTATTTTTTTTTATAATAAAAACAAATATGTATGTAATAATCACTATTATATTTATATTTTAAATATATTAATCATTTAATTATTTCTGTTTATGATATTGACAAATTAAAAATAGAAAATAAAAATATCAAAATAGTTGTAATTTAAAAAAATTTAAAAAAATAAAAAAAAAATAAAATTTTTTTTTTTTTTTTTATTTTTTTAAATTTTTTTAAATTAATAATTAATTTTTCACTTAAATAATTATTTTTTCACCTAATTTTTTTTTTTTTAATCTTATTTGTTCATAATAATAGTTATTATAAACTTTTATAATAGTGTGTAATATAAAAAAGTGTATATCATGGATAACCATGAATAATTAATTTTAAATTTTAAAATATTTAAAAAATATCATACCCATTAAAAATTCAGAAACACACATCACACCATAAAATAAAAATTTTATTTCTTAAAAAAATATTTTTAAAAATTCTTTAACGAGAACTCCAAACCAGTTTCTATAAAATAAAAACAAAAAAAAATAAAATATTATTAAAAAAAAAAAAATAAATAAAAATTAAAAAAAAAATCAAAAAAAAAAAAAAAAATTGTTTTTATTCAGGTTTAGCTGTTTTTCTGTGTTTAATTTTATACACAATAAAAAAAGAAAAAAAATAAACAAGAGAAACCGTAAATAATAAAACAAAATGAAGTTATTGTTTGTATTATTATCTCTTGTATTTACAGCAGTTAGAGCTGCCCAAAACTATCAATTTATTCATGTTAGTGACATTCATTACAGTGCCTCTGTAAACTCATTACTTTATAATGCAACTACATCATGTATCGAACCAAGGTAAATATAAAAATAAAAACTACAATATTACATGTAATCTAGATTAATTAGTTAATTAATTTTATTATAATAATATTTTTATATAGCTCACTTTCTACCGAATCAGATCATCACGAACATGACCAAATTCTTTTAAAATCAAAGAAATTCAGTTCACCAACCAGTGGTTTATTTGGTAGATATGGTTGTGATACTAACGACGTTCTATTGGATGAAGTGTATGTATTTTTATTTGAAAAAAAAAATTAAAAAAAAAACTAATAAATTATAATATTTAATTTAGTATGAAACAAATGACTATGGCTCAACCAAACCCTGATTTTATTATTTAGTAAGTATTTTATAATAATAGTTAGTTTTTATGCAAAGATTGCAACATTTTAAAAAATATAAAAAAATTATAATTTTTTTAAAATTTTATAATTTCAAATAAAAAAAAAAAAAATCATTGTTTCGAATAATAATAAAAAAAAAAAAAACCCATCCCTATACATAATCCTGCATTAAAAACTCCAAAAAAAAAAAATAAAATAAAAGATAACAAATAAAATAATATTAACTTTTTTTTTTTTTAATTTAGTACCGGTGATGGTGCAGGACATTCATTACCAGTTGGACCATGGCAAGAATCACAATCAACATTAGCAAAACAATTTTTAAATAGCTATCCAAACACTCAAATTATTCCAACTATTGGTAATAATGATGTTTTCCCAGACTACAATTCACAATGTGGCGATAATAATTTAGCATTTTTATATTCAATTTGGAGCCAATGGATTCCACAAGATCAAACTTCTTCCTTCCAATACAGAGGTTCATTCTCTATTTCCCCAGTTCCAGGTTTAGTTGTTATCTCTTTAAATACTGTACTTTATTCAACCAAAAACAAAAATGTCTTTTCAACACCAAACGATCCATGCGGTCAATTTGGATGGTTAGAACAACAATTACAATCAGCTCAACAAAATGGTGATTCGTAAGTAATTTATTGTTTATCACATTTATTTATAAACCAAATAATAATGGTCTATTTATTAATAAATACTACTTTTACTACTATAGAGTTTATATTATTGGTCATATTTTCCCTGGTTTAGATCCATTTTATTTATCAGCTACTTGGAATTCACAATATCAAACATCATTCTTTAATATTACCACAGCATATAAAAGTATTATTAATGGTGGATTCTTTGGCCACATTCACAGAGATGAAATTAGAGCCATTCAATATGCAAACCCTTCACAAGATTATTTCCCAATGTTTATTGGATCATCAGTCACACCAGTTTACTTTAACAATCCATCATTCAAAGTTTTCACATATTCTCCAAACACCAATGTTGTTGCTGATTACTCTGCTTTCTTTGCCGATGTTTACATCTCTAATCTTCAAGGCTTTATGAACTGGACTAAAGAATATGACTTTACCAAAACCTTTGGTATTTCTTCACAAGCCAATGGTATCAATGGCCAAGTTTTAAATACATTAAATTACAACATGCAATTTTCAAATATCCTTTTCAATACCTATGACAATTTTAGATCTGCCTCCTACTTAGCCGATGCCACCATTACACACTGTCTCAACAATGCCGCTACTGTAGAAGAATTAAATGCATGTAGCGATATGTCCCAAACCGTTGCACAAATAGCAACAAAGTAAATTTTTTTTTTTAATTTATTGATTGATAAATTAAAAAAAAAAAGTACGATTTATAACAATAATAAATAATAAATAAAATAATTATTTTATTTTATTTATTTTCAATTGTTTTTTTATTTATAAATAAAAAAATCAAACTACAAATAACATTTTTCATATTTATTTTTTTTTTTTTTATTTTTTTTTTTTTTTAATTTTTTAATTTTTTTCGTATTTTTTTCATTTTAAAAATTTAATTAATTTTATTTAAACACCATTACAATGACAGAAAATAATATTAATGAATTTATAGATATTAAAAATTTCGAAAATGATATTTCAAATATATTAACACAATCAACATTTTCTAAAAAGAAATCATTAGATCGTTTAAATCAAAATTTAGAATCTATTAGACAAGATAATGATAAACTATTGGCATTAAATAACTGTATATTTTCAAATGATTATAAAATATACAATATACTTGTTAATTTATTAAATGATAGTTTAGAAAAATCAAAAACAATATCATTAAACTATTTATTGGAGTAAGTAATACTACTTAATTATATAATATAACACATAAATAATAATATAATACTAATAGTAATAAAATAGAGTTAAAATACCAGATGAATTAATCAATAATTTAATATTTCAATTAGATACAAATATTAAAAATGAAGATGTAGAAGAAATTAATTTTTTAATTACAAAGTTATTAAATTCAATTGTAAATAATTCAAATGAAAATATAGTTTCGATGAACTGTGACAAGTTATGCAAAATTATTAAACAAACACTAAACCATAGCTCACCAGATCAAAAAGAAATTACAGCAAAGTTAATTCAAGTATTGGCAGATAAAGTACCAAATCGTATAATATACTTTTCATCAGAATTAATTGTGCCATTAATTTCAAATATGAGCAACCGACAACAAAGAGTTAGATTAGAATCATTAAATGCACTAACATCACTTGCACTAAGCGGATCAGTTAAAATCATCGATACTTTAGAGCAACATTTATTGGTACTAGCCAATGACAACTCACCTACAGTTAGAGCTGCACTTTGTGTCTCTATTGAAAAATGGTCCACTAGAATCCCAACTTCAATTCAATACTATGAGTTTTTACTACCAATTTTAATTGGCTTGTCAGTTTCTGATATTATAGTAGTTCGTAATTCTGCAATAGATTCTTTAAACTCGATCTCTGCATTCTATCAAGCAGAAAGATCCTTTGGCAACATTGACGAAAATACAATCAAATGCTTTGGTTCATTGGATAAGCAGATTCAAGAAAACAAAGAATCAGTATATCCAAATATTCGTTACTATATTACAAACTCTGCAGGAAATGGGGAAAATAGTGAATCTAAACAAATAACAGTTGAATCAAAGAAACTAATTTTCCAATTTTCTCAAGCCATCATGAAAAGATACTACAGGGATTTCCACAACCAAGAGTTGGATCAAAATATTAGAGATTTCAAGATTAATTTCCTTTTAGCATTTATTGCTTATCTTGGTGGACCACCAACCACCCGTTTCATAGAGGCCATAATCGAAATTATTACAGTTAGATTCAGCGACCATTTCGACCAAATAACGAAAAAGGTAAATGAAATAATATACATTTTAGGTTTGATCAATATTGATGAAAAAACCTTTGTCAATAGAATTATTGATAGAATTAAAACTCAAATTACAGCTCAAGAATCAGATACCATTGATATTCAACTGCTCCAAATCTGTATATTAGTATTGAAAAAATTCTATTCGTCCCACTTAATCAATGGTCAAATCAACAACATCCTAAATATCAGCACTTTGCCATCACCAAGTCCATTCACTTTATTAATAGATCAAATGAAGCAAATCATTTTTAAAAATATTTCATTAAATCCATTTATCAAAGAATTTATTTCATTTTTTAATCAAATTTTCACTGTCAACAGCAATATAATCATAAATATTGATGATGGCAGCTTAAATAGTTTATGTAAATTTTTAATTTTATTGGATTTAAATGGCAATTGTGATAATACCACTCTCTTTAATTTAATTTCAAGCAAATGTGGTTTTTCAGATTATTTACAACTTTTAGAAAAGAATTGTGGCCATTTAATCAAAGAAATTTCAAGTAAAGATAAAAATCAATTACAAAAACAAAAATCACATCTTTTAATTTTAAATTATTTATTGGCAAAATTACCATCAAATATAAGTGATCAATATGTCGATCAAATAAATTTAATAAAGAAATAAATCTATTTTTATCAATTGACAAAAATAAAGGGGTGACCTCCCAATTTATAAAAAAAAATTTTTTATCATAATTATAAAAAAATTAAAAAAAAAAATTAAAAAAAAAAAATTAAAAAAAAAAAAATTAATTTTCTTTAAATTATTTCATAAGTTTTAAATTAAATATCATTAATGATAAATATATATATAACTATTTACAGTATATTAAATTATATAATAAAGTTATTCAACTAAATAAAACATAATATCACAAACACCCAAGTATAAATATAAATAAATATAAAAAATGAACTCTCATTCAAACTCACAACAAGCACATCTTCAGCAACAACAAGTGTACTCACCAATAGTACTAACATCAACACATAGGCAAGATGTACAGGAAAAATATCAGTTTAGTTACGAAATTGGTTCTGGTACATATGGTATGGTTTATAAAGCGGATGATAAAAAAAGACCAACAAATAAGGTGGCTGTAAAAAAATTTAGAAGTACAAAAGAAGGTGAAGGTTTATCTTTAACTGCATATAGAGAAATTGGAGTAAGTTATAAAATCTATAAACTCACCCATATAATAATATAAAACTAATTCATTTTTATTTAAATAGTTATTAAAAGAATTATCAAACGAAAATATAATTAAATTATTAGATGTTTGTTTAAATCCCAAAGATAAACTATTATATTTAATTTTTGATTATGCAGAATTTGATTTATTTGTAAGATAATCATCAAATATATATAAGTATACATAAAGCTAAAATATTAATCATGTTTTTTATTAAGGGTATAATAAAATATCACAGAGAAAATCAATCACATTTTTCAGATGTTACAATAAAATCCTTGATATGGCAGGTTTTAAATGGTATGCATTATTTACATAGTAATTGGGTAATCCATCGTGATTTAAAACCAAGTAATATTTTAGTAATGGGTGAGGGTAAAGAAGTTGGTACTGTAAAGATTGGTGATTGTAAGTTATTATTACTAAGTAATATCTTAAATCTATTTTATTGTGGCTTTTTACTAATCAAAATTATAACTTTACAGTTGGTTTAGCTAGAATTTTTCAATCACCACTAAAACCATTAAATGAAAATGGTGTAGTAGTAACCATTTGGTATAGATCCCCAGAACTATTACTTGGATCAAAACATTATACAAGAGCAGTTGATATTTGGGCTATAGGATGTATTTTTGCAGAATTAATTACAACTAAACCACTATTCCCAGGTAAAGAAAAAGATCCTAAAATACCATCACTCTTCCAAGACGATCAGGTGGATAAAATTGTTAAAGTTTTAGGTAAACCAACATTAGAAATGTGGCCTGATGTCAAACATTTACCAGAATGGAAAAGGATTTCAAATATGGAACCATACCCAAATACTTTAGCAAAATGTGTGGGAATCGACGAAAAAAGCAATGCATACGACTTACTATCAAAAATGATACTATATGATCCATCAAAAAGAATAACTGCCTCAGAAGCATTAGATCATCCATATTTTAAAGAACAACCATTACCAATGGCAAATGCTTTTGCAAAATCACCAATACCCTACCCACATAGATTACCAATAAATAAGAAAAAAAGAGAATTTGACGATTAATAATTAAATAATAAATATCAATAATATAATATAGTAATCAAAGATAGAAAAAAAAAAAATAAAAAAAATAAAAAACTTGTAAATATTTTTTAAAAATATTTTTTATTTGGTTATTAAACTGTACAGGAAAAAAAGATAAATTTTTTATTAACCTTTTTTTTTTAATTTTTATTTATAAAGTTTTAAATTCCATTATTATGGATTGACGATGTTTGTACATATTAATAAGTTGTAATAAAAAACTACTAATTCTTTTATATTATTAAATTATTAAACTATTATATTTAATTATTGATATATTATTAATTAATACATGTTTTAATTATTATTATTATTATTATTAACTAAAACACTAAAACTTTTCTACATAATGGACAAGTATTATTTATTGAAAACCACTTCTTTATACCATCTTCGCAATATCTATGGGAGCAAGGTAAATCTATTAAAACCTCGCCATCTTTAAAAGGCTCTTGACAAATACCACATTGTGTTTCACTAGGCTTTTCGTGATCCTCAACACCGCTATCATATATTACTTTTCTAAGTTTATTTATATCAGCTTCTGAAACTCCTCTTGGTACATTATTTCTATCCAACTCCAAATATTGTTCATAAGTACCTTCATCTTCATGATCACCATCTTGAATATTAATATTGTTATTTGGGTGGTGATGATGGTGATTATGATAGTGATGCGAATGAACTCTATTACTATTACTATTATTAAAACGATGTTGTTGGTGTTGCTGCTGTAAATGCTGTTGATGTATTAAATGATGATTATGTTGATGATGATTTAAATGCTGTAAATGATGTCGATGAGGAAATGAAGGTATGGGTGGGTGTTGAAACACTAAACGCTGTTGATAATATTGTTGTTGTGATTGTTGTTGAGGTTGTTGAAAATGTTGTTGTGATTGCTGCTCTTGTTGCGATTGTTGTTGTAAATGTTGTTGTAAATGTTGTAAATGTGATTGATTATGTAAATGAAACTGTTGTTGCTGCTGGAAATATTGCTGGTGATGGTGTAAATGGTGGTGGTGTTGTTGCAAATGTTGCTGGTGATGTATAAATGGTGAATGAATTAGTTGTATATGTTGTTGATGTAAGAGTTGTTGCTGATGTAAGAGCTGTTGTCGGTGCGATAAATTTTGATTCGAATTAAAATTAAGCGAATGATGCTGCTGGTGCATTTGGAAATGTTGATCTAGTTGTTGATGATGTTGCTGTTGCTGTTGTTGTTGTTGTTGTTGCATTTTATTTATTAAAAAAATTTATATAATTACGATGAGAAAAAAAAAAATAACAACACAACATCCATGCACCAAAAACCTATATTTTTATCTTATTTTCCAAATAAAATTACAAAAACAATAACTTTATATAATATAAAAATTATTTTTTAAAAATTATTGATGATTATAATACAAAAAAAACCCAATTACTAAATAACCAAAAAGAGATATTAATATTAATTTTTATATGGTTATAATTATTTTATTTTATAACAATTCTATTAATAATTACCTAAAATAAATTATTTAAATTTCTTTTAACAATTATTTATATACGATAAAAAAAAAATAAACTATTATTATTGATAATACTATATATTATTATTATTATTTACTATTATTATAATAAAAAATAATAAAAAATAAAAAAAAATAAAAAAAAATAAAAATAAAAAACAAAAAATAATTATGTATGTTTTTTTTCTTTTTTTTTTTAATAATAAAAAAAAATATTTGAAGATTTTAAATCAACATGGACACTATTATAAATTCGGTGGTAGTATTAATTTTATTGGAACGAATTGAATTATTATTACTAGGTTCTATATTATGACATAACACTATTATGAAAAAAAAACACAATAACGACCACAATTTCTATTATATAATATAAATTACCTATATAATAACGACCACAATTTCTATTATATAATATAAATTACCTATATAATTTATATAATATATAAACTATATTTAATTATACACATATATCTGAATATATATAAAAAGTTATACAATAATTTTAAAAAATATAATTTTGTTTTTTATTTTTTATTTAAAAAAAAAAATTTTAAATAAAAAAAAAAAATTAAAAAAAAATAATTTAATAAAAAAAAAAAAAAAAAAAAAAAAAAAAAAAAAGGAAATAATAACTGATTTCCAAAACGACAAAAGTACCAAAAAAAATAATATATGTGTATATTAAACACTTGTATTAAAGTTATTTTTATTTAATTTTAAATTATTATTGTAATTATAATTGTGGGTGTCTGGTAAATATTATGTAAAGATATAAAATTAGGGGGGGGGGGGGGTTAAAAAGAGATTAATTAATTTGATTTATTATTATAAAGATTGGTTTGATTATGATTTGAGACTATGAAATTTCTTGATTTTGCAAATTGGAAAAATTGTTCAACCAATTTACTTTCGTCCATTTTGGTTTGTTCCAAACAAAAAGTTTTTTTATCTTTGTTGGAGTGGTCAACGGCCTTATTGTTTGTAATTAAAACTTTTTCTTTGATTGATGCCAAACTTGAAATAATCGCGCGATCATCGTCACTAACTGAGCGATACTAGACACGCACGCTTGTTCATCAGAAACGGGCTTTCTTAAGTGGGAAA